TGAGGTGATACCTCAATCAATCCATAGGTAATAAAAACTAACACTGTCTAATATAAAATAGTAAAATCTCTACATTAATACAATTGTTTTTATCAATTATCAATTTTTTTGAAGCGATCCCGAGGTCTTGAATAGAATCAAGGCTATTGTTAGTGGTCATTTCACGGGGCCTTGGTCGACTTATGGTGAGGTTCCGGCGGCCACTCTTGAACTATGGTGGCGGTTGTTCAAGGTAAAAATAAATTTTTTTTGTTACATTTTAATAACTTAAATTTAACAAATGATATATCAATGTTTTTAATGAGGGCTTCCCATCGGTGGCATTTTGTCCTAGACCAAGCTATTCTCAAAGAATACAATTCTAGGATTTCTGGGTGGTTGAGACCCACTTTTAGGACCGCCCGGTCTACCGGTCGAAAGCCAAGATTCCTTGGCGATGATGTGTGGGAGATGCTTCGCCGCCATTGGGCTACGGATCCCGCATTTTTGCTGAGAAGCGAAACAACCAAGGCAAACCGGAACTCGGAAAAAACCAAGGAAGTTCAATGGCACGGGGGCCGCAAACCCCAAATTCAACATAAAAAAGATCTGGTACACTCTAATTAGTTAAAATTATTTCCATTCCATTCCCTTATGTATATATTTTTTTATTAACTTTGAAATCCGTGTAGGAAGGATCTGGATCCGTGAAAAAACGGGTCATGCCATTGAAACTCATGGCACATTGTTGGACGAAGAAGGGTGCTATGCCGCCTCCCCGCCTTTCTGAAATTTAAGTAAATAATGAAACTTCAATAATTCAATAAATTTTGAATTTTTTTGATCTCTTATATAATAAATTTTTGAACTTGTAGAAAAAATATGAGGAAGAGCGGGGGAAGAGAGTTGATGAGCTAGGTGATTCTGATGCCGAACTTGATGAAAATCAAGATGATGAGGCCATCTTGGCGGCAACCGGAGTTTACAAGGGCCGGGTGCCGCTTATGGGTTCTGAAGGCTTACGGATCTTGGAGAAGTCCAAAGGAGCTAGCTCATCTTCTCATTCGGCGTATGATGATCGGGTTACCCGCCTCGAGAAACTATTGGAGGAACGTGAAGCAGAGGCTCGAAGGCGGGATGAAGAAGCTCGGATACGGGATGAAGAGGCAAGAAGAACGAGAGAAATGTTGGAAGAGATGGAACGACAAATGTGTATGTTCAACGCCACCTACCGCCCATCCATGCACATACAACACCCCGAGATGACTCCACAAATTCCCTTCGCGGGCAATATGGGCAGTATGGGCAGTAGGGGGTTTGCTAATTATAGCCATATCTCCAACAATTTTCCATATGGATATTATGATGATACCCCTTTATTGACTCCTGGAGCTCAAGCATACCGTGGCAGCAGCCGGGCAGGCAGCCGTGGTGGCAGTCGAGGCAGCCATCGTGGCGGCAACCGTGGCCACGGAAGGCAACCCGATCATCGTGAGGAACCTAATGATGATGATGATGATTATGATGACCATTGATGGTTTTTAATAACTAGTTTATTGACATTTTAAGGATTTTTAAATTTTGATGGTTACTGTACGAATATTAATTATTTGTGATATAATGATTGTTTGATTTGTTTATTATTTATTATGATAAATAATGTTTAATGGTGATTAATGATGATTAATGATGATTTTTTAATTATTTATTATAAACAATTATTTATTAAGATTAATGATGATTGTTTAACTATTTATTATAAACAATGTTTATTAAGTTTAAATTTTTTAAAAAGCGCCTAAATTTTAATGTTTATTATTTATTAAATAAACTTTTGAAATAAAAATTTAAAAAATTAATGCGCTGAATTTTTAAATTTTTTTAAAAAAAATTAAAACTTTTGTCACGGACGGTTCCGTGACAAAGTATAAATTCAGTTTAAACATTCAATTTAAATACCCAAAACGCTGAAAATAACGTATTTAAAAAAAAAAATGTTTTGTCACGGATGAGATCCGTGACAAGTTCAAAATTTTGAATATTTTTTTTAAATTTTAAAAGTACCCGCCCACCTGTTTCAAAATTTTTCAAAAAATTTTCAAAATCTTTTGTCACGGATATGTCCGTGATAAAAATAAAAATTTGAATTTTTCAGATCGTTTCAAATACCCGCCCACTCTATTTCGAGAAGCTTTTTTTTAAATTTGTCACGGATATTTCCGTGACAACTAATTATTTTTTTTTGAAAAATAAAAAAATTTATTCACGGATGTGGCCGTGACAAATAAAAGGCGATGGAGTTCCGGTGAAGTCTTTTGTCACGGACGGTGGTCGTGACAAATCCGTGACAAACGGTCCCACGGATTAAAGTTCGTGACAAAAACGTTATCACGCCCCTGGTGTCACGGATTTGTTCCGTGACAAATTCGTGACAAAAAATCATTTGTCACGGATTTTTTGAACTACCGTCCGTGACAAGATCCGTGACAAAGAGCGAGTTTTTTTGTAGTGTGTAGTACTTCAAAAAATTGGGGATTTTGTTTGGTTGGGAGCCATCATTTGTTTTAAGAATTTTTATCTAGTTAATGAGGTGAGAGTAGTATGGCTCAATTTTTTGGTGAGTCAATTTATTCCAAGAGAAAGCCACATGGCATTTTCATAGGAAATGAGCAAATTTTGGAGAGTCTGACACATAGAATTTATTAAGAGCATAATTATATTTTAATGGGTCATTTCTTTTCTTATACGTTTTGTACCATTTTTATCTTCTTCATCCGTTCATCCTTTTCCATCTTTTCCAACTATGAATTTTCTTTTCCTCCCGATAATACGGTCAGGGCAATGATTTTTAAATGATGTCCCTACTATATTGCACTAATATACTGCACTAATTAGTGCAGTATGTAACTTAATTATGTTTTGTGGATTATGTTGTGCAATAATTATTTAACATATACTATCGTAATATAAATGCATTAAATTAGTTTTTATTACTTATTTATGATTGGATCAGTAATATACAAAGTGATTAAGTAGATTCATTGTTTAAGTAATTCCTGCATTATTTGTGATTTGGGTAATGCATTAGCATTGCCAATAAGGGCATTGCATTGTATGATATGACATGTCTTACTAATTAAGGATAGTAAATCAGAGTGCTTTTGGACACTTTATAATTATTATTTGATCCCGGTGAAGATACCATAGGCAGTATATTAATTACTTGTGACTGAACATGGTCGTAAGTTGTTTATATAGTATTAAAAAGTATTCCACTAAATGGAAAATTCAATAAAAATCGCTCCTCTCACTGCATGATTCAATGAAAAACGTAAATTCATAGTTGAAGAAGATGAAAATGGTTGAAAAAGTGAGTTACCAGTGAAAGATACTTTTAATCAAGAGAAATATTGTTAAATACCTATTGTAGTGGGACTTTCAATAAACGATAAAACAGTCATGGAATCAATATGAGATAAATAAGGAATGGAATGTATGACACATGTGTTTACTTGGATTGATTCTAGTCCCAATTATATCAAACGAGACTTAGACAGACGTGGGAGATCGGATCAAATTTCGATTTCTATAGTTATAAAATACAATAAGACTATACATCTACTAGATGTCTAGATCAGACTAGAAAATTTCAGTCCAATTCAAAACATTATTAGGATCAATGTACAATCAAGGAAGGACAAAGTTGGAATGAAAAATATACAACTTGAGGTGGCTCTTAGCTTGTATGTAAGTCATGTTTTAGGGAAGAAACACTTAAGTCATCAAAGTAGGGGTGGGGAAACGGATACGGGAACTGCGGATCGGACCAGGTAATATAGGTTCAGGGCGGGTTAGGGTCGGGTTCTAATTTTAAAAACCCCAAACGGTTCGAGGCGGGGCGGGTCCGGAAAAACTTAGGAATCGAACGGGTCTTAAAATTTGAAAAAACGGGTACCTAGACACCAAATCATTTTAAAATATTATTTTAATAATCTCTATTATATTTAATACTAGTATAGTATATATAATATAATATACTAACGTCACACGAAAGCTCTTCATGTTCTTGTGTCTAAACAAACACTTCCAATTAAAGAAACTTCTCAGTCTATTAAAAGAGTTTCCAACTCCGTATAATTAAACTCCTAAATTATTTTCCTCAATTCTCTATTCCAAATGCATCAAACTTTCTTTGTTTAATATTTTTTTGTAAAGAAAGACTCTTAATTACTCAATGAAGTGTGACATATTTATTTAATTATCTTAATTTTACTTACACTTGGAGATTTAATAAGCTTTAAATTGTTTTCATAGACAAATATGTATAGTAGTTTAATATCTTATGAACTTATGGTGCTATATTTTAATTAGTTTATGAATGATCATCATCATCATTATCGTTGCCCCAATGGTGCAAAGGCTCCCACCTATCATGAGGTAAGGGGGGTCGGATGTACGCAGTCTTACGGTCTTACCCATGTAATAAAGCACAGAGAGACTGTTTCTGGATGACCCATAATTAAAACCGCGTCACAAATTGCATGGATTGATTGTAGCTTCATAACAAAGAAGCGCAGAAAATTTAGTGAACTCATTTGTTTTATTCCATCATATTCTCAAGCAAAAAAATAGCTAGTCTTTGTCTCCATTGCAAATGTTGGAATATAATTTATGAATGATGACTAACATTTTAATTAAGGTGGTTGTGTGTTGTTTAATTTATAGATTTGTGGTTCGATATTTTGAACTTTCAACTTACTAGAAAGTATGCTTGCTTAGTCATATTTTTTTGATAAAAAAGAACTGAGAACTCGGACCAAATAGCCCGTTTCAAACGGGACGAATCAGGTCTGGTTCTTATTTCGAAACTTGGTATACCCGGACCGAAACTACCCATTAAGTGGAACCGTCAATTCTTGAAAATTCATCAATTACCCGGACCGGCCCGAATCGTGCATATCCCTACATCTTAGGGTAAAAATAACGGAAGTGAAAGTGCAACAATGAGACAGCAGAATGGAGAAAGAACAAGATCTAGCAAACACCCCTCTCCTCTTCTTGTTAGAGAATGAGATTTGAGGTAGTAAAAATGGTAAGATATAGAATTATTTTAAATAACAGAAATGCATGTCCGATCGGGAGGCATAAATTATTTGGAATTACCGATAGACGAAAAAAACACAAACTAAATCTTCATTCATGTACTATCTTTTCATAGATTCCCACTGTTGTAGCCATCCCAGTAGTATTTCCCGGAATGGGCTAGGTCTGCAAACTGAGGCTGCAATACAATTTTCAAGGAAAAGACCCACAAATTAAATTTTAAAACAGTCTTAAAAATAATGGAAATAATAAATACAGTAAAAAAGAAGAAAATTCAAAGGCTGCAGGCCGCCTAGACCAGTTACCTCGCCCACGGAGCTAGGTGGGGTTCATCTAACTTCATGTGGATTTCAAATAAAATAGAAGAATTACATTTCTACACAAAATTAGTACACAATTCGGACAGTTGTCTTAGCTCGTAAACAAGTAATTCGTTTGAAAAAACGCAAAAAATTTATGCCAAAATGTCTTTGTGCACGGTCCGTGTACAGTTTGTATACAACAAGAATTACACAATAAAATATCTCTATGTCCCTTAAAACTTGATAAAGTTTGATCACGAAAAATAATAAATTAAAAATTGTGTAATTGAAGTTTGTGGAAATGAGAAACATTTAACTGAAAATTCTCGAAATAAGAGTAAAAAAGTTTGAAATTTCAAAATAAAACTTTCTTATTTTTATTTCCTAAACATGACCAATTACTATTAAATTTGAAAAAAAACTGTCATGTTTAAGATCTGGTATCGCCCGAATATGTTTAAAGAATAAAAATATATCAATCTTATTTTAAATATAAAAACGTTTTTACTCTTATTCAGGACGATTTACCAATTTATAATTAAAGTGGAATGTAGCAAAATTAATGAAAAAAAGTTAACCATGTTTTAATGGGTGAAGGAAGTAAGAGTAAAAGTTGACTTAGTTTTAAGGAGGGACTAATAAGAGAGATAAAGAATGAATTTCTTTCCTGTAAACATTAAATTAACACCCAAGAACTAATTTAATTAAATAGGATGAGTCTTTTGTTTTCTTTTTTACCTGATTGGATGTTGCAAGCGGGTTTTGGGGGAACTGGAAAATGTTGGACAGGCACCAGCTGTGTTCCTCTGGCGGCGGCGGTTGATCCGGGAAAGCGGCATGTGGGGTTGTAGTTGGTCCGGCCAACAAGCTGCTAGCGCTGATGTTCATCGTCATCCCCATCTTCTTCTCCCTCGTCCTCTCTCTCGCCCTCTCCCTCGCCTTGCTCCGAGATTCTTTACTGGTGGGGGAATTGAAGGAAGCAGCAGCCCTAGGTCGGGCCGCTTTGGCCTTCCTGTCCGCCGCCGCGGCCGCCTTCTTCCCATCACCATTAATGTTATTATTGAAGGAGGGTTCTTGATCAACCACGCCGGAAACCGCCTCACCGCCGCATTCAGAGGTGGCGTGGGAGGAAGTGTTGTTGGGGTTGTGGTATTTGCTGGCGCCGATGTTGGAGAGGTCCCTGATGGCCGATTTGGAGTTGGTGAGCAGCCAATCGACCGTCTTGCTGGCCTTGTCGAACCCCAGCATGTCCTGGAGGTCGAAGAATTTGCGAGCCACGTCCAGGGAGAGCCTCATCCTCCGGTCCCGGGGGCCTTGGGCCGTGTGGATCTTGCTGTGCCGGTCTTTCTTATTTTTGCTCTTATTATTACTTTCATTCTCGGCCGCTGAAGAAGCCCTAATACACCCGAGGTACTTCTCTTCCTCGCCCCCCGCATCCGCAACATGTTGTTGTTGGTGCTGTTGTTGTTGAACGAGGCTATAAATGGAGATTTGTTGCAACAACAAATCTTCATCCTCTTCGTATATGTATCGCATTGAAGGAGAAGCGAGGGAGCTGTTATATATGATGGGATACATGTATATATACGTTTATATTGTATTGTATTTATATGTATATATGATATGGAGGTGTTTGGGGTGCTAATTTATTATCTTACATACTGTATTTATATGTATGTATTTGATGTAAAATATTTAAAATATAATGCGGATCTTTGTACCCTTAGCTTCTCGCCCTAGCTAGCTGCTGGTATATACTCTACCTGCAATTATATATGCAACAGATCGATATGTACAATAAGCTAGCTTATAATTAGCTAGAAATTGAAAAAGACTTGCTGAGATGTGAGGATGATCTATCTGATGATAGAGACTTAATTTCTCTTTGAGTGGATGGGTTCACTCACTCAATCTTTCCTCCTTGCTTTCCTCTCCTAGCTAGCTTGAATGGTTTGTGTTACTAACTATGGTGTTGTCTGTATATGAGAGATGAGAGGCATGGATGGAAGGAGCTGAGAGATGGAGAAAGAACTTATTTACTAGATAGACAAAGATAGATAGAATGTATTGTACATTTATCTCATCTTTCTCCACACTTGATCAGGTTTCCGGTAGAGCTCACTTTAAAGCAAAAAGGTGAACTCAGAGGGTGACATTTTGTGTAGTGTGGGAGCCATTTTTATTTGGACACTTGTGAAATGGAAAGCTAGGTATTTATGTGTTCTCTTATCTATCATTGACATAATAATAATTATAGTAATAATAATATACTAATAATAATAATAATAATAATATAATAGCAATTATTATGTTTAACAACCCTAGATAGGACTAAATAAGCCTCAAAAGGCAAACATAGGAGTATATTGTTTTTATTCTTAAAATAAGAGTAATTTAATTTATGTTCCCTCTTGCAAAATATTCTATCAATTTCCTATAATCCCTAATTGGGCTTATTTTGTTAATAACAATTTCTTATTTTTAATTTTAATAAAAAAAAATAATAACAATATTTAGAATAAAAATAAAATAAAAATAAATAGTTAAAACTTTAATACTCCCTCCGTCCCTTAAATCTTTGTCATCTTTCCTTTTTGGGACATCCCAAAAAACTGTCACTTTCTCTTTTAATCAATTATTTTGTGGTTCCTGATGTTTCTCTCTCCTCTGCACAAACTTCAATAACATAGTTTATACTATATTATTCTTCGTGTCGGTCAAACATCACAAAGTTTTAAGGGAAGAAGTAGTATGAAAGAAAAAATGAATAAATAAATAAATAAATGAATAAATAAATAAATAAATAAATAAATAAATAAATAAATAAATAAATAAATAAATAAATAAATACATAAATAAAAAATAAATAAGTAAATAAAACATATAAAAATAAAAAATGAAGGCATCTGCCTCCTCTTAGCACCGGCACCTCTAAGTCTCTAACGTTTAGAAGAATGTCATTTTGTTTAAAATGTTACCCATATTGAAAATGTCATGAAGATTGCATTATTACTTTTTGAAAATGACAAATTTCACTCTCACACTACCGTTAAGAGTTTAAAATGACAAATTTCACCCTCAATCCCAATTTGTAAGATACATTTACTATTCACTTGGTCAACATAAATCAATCTTAATCTTTTACTTTATATGTCAAAAGTGTATGAAATTTGAATTATTTTTTGCAGGCTTTGTAGCGGTTTTAATGTAGTTCTTAAATATGTAAATTCTATTTTCTAAAACTAATTTGACTCTCGACAGGAATCAATTTGCTTTATCTTCAGTCAAACATCGTAAATTGTAAAGTGTCTTACAAATTGGGACGGAGAGAGTATTTTACTTTTAAATTTTATTACTATAAATACAAAAAAAATCATATTAAAGAATAACAAGAGCAAGGATATGAATCATATGATAGGAAGAGTTAATCCTACTTTAGAAATTTAAAATGTATACTCTTATTCTTGTGATTTACCTTTTGTTTACTTCTTTTTATGGAATTAGTCCCTATTATTAATATTAATTATTAATAATGTTATTGTTGTTATCGTTTGCTTGTTGTTTTTCTGATTACTCAATAGGAGCATAGTTTGCTAAAATAATCTCGGTAAATTTTTAATTTGATTATAAATTTGGATTGTTTATGTAAGACGATTACAATAAAAAAGATGACACCATATCTAAGGATCCCAACACTAACAGAACAATTAGATGAAAGGATGTATAGTAAGACAATTAGAAGTGGTTAGTGATTCTATTAGTGATAATGTAAGACTGTCAGGTTATCAGTGTACGTTATTTACAATTTTACATTAAGGAAATCAGTATGGTGAATGTTCAAGGGTATCCCTAATTGACCACGATTAACAAATTGGAGAATCCTTTCAAAAAAAAAAAAAAGTGGAGAATACCTTAGATTTTGATGGGTACCATAAATGTAACTTTTTTTGAAACGTACGTTTAAACTAGGGAGATTTCCCAAAATAAGAGTAAATGAAGTTTGAAATTCCAAAATAGGACTACTTTGTTTTTATTCTTAAAATGGGATTAACATGACAGTATTTACTGTCATCTTGTAGTTGTGACTGCCAAATAGTTGTAGTAAAGTGCATTTAACATGACAATATTTATTATAATTAATGACAGTATTTTTCAATCGTGAAGAAAAACATACTAGTCCTATTTTTGGAATTCCAAGGGTCATTTGCTCCTATTTTGGGTAATTTCCCTTTAAACTAATACGTAGTATTGTTTACTTTTGTGCAATTTATAACACACCGTGGACTGCAAAATTTCAGTTTGTATATACTACACCCGGCCACCCGGGTGTACGGGTGGGAACCGTACATCTGGGTATTTTTTTAATTTTTTAAAGCTTCAGCCCAATTTAAATGAAATTTAATGAATATAATGGAGGCCCACAATAATTAACGAGCAAACCCCATAAAAAACAGGTCCGGAGTAGAAAACAAGCAAAGGGGCCAATTATTTTAACGGTGACATTTTTGTAATTTAAGCGAAAAATCATGTCTCCTGCTAAGTGAGCAATAATGTACTTTTAATGAGCATTTGACCTATTTTATTGAGTATTAGAAGGCTAATTATGAGTATCGGGATCTCTGTTTCACATCTTCTAATTCTATTTCTTTTTTTGTTATTTTTTCTTTTATAAAAACTTATTAAATTATATCTATAATGTACTCCTATTAATTTCAATACGCGAGTCTAATGTAATATGATACTTTTGGAACATGTATTGATATGACATTTTAAAAAATGAGCATAGCATTAGTACATAATGAGCATACATAACTTACAAAGTGCACATTATATGAAAATCGTAAGGTTTGTTAGTTGAACATCATGACATTTTAAATGAGCATACTATTGAGATGAAAATCACGACTTCTGGAAAATAAGTAATAATGAACTTTTAATGAACACCAGACCTATTATATTGAGTATTAGGAGTCTAATATAAAATACTCCGTAGTACTTTTAAAATGCATTGATATGACATTTATAAAATGATCATATGATCAGTCTCAGATGAGCATACGTAACTTACAAAATGAGTATTAATGAATTTGTTAGTTGCTTGTTTAGTTTAGCATCAAGACATTTTCAGTGAGCATCAAGCCTCCGTTATTGAGTATTAGAATCTGTGATTGAGTATCATGATTTGTTGTCTCGTATTTATAATCAACTCTTATATAAATCTAATGTAATATGAGACTTTTGAAATGTGCATTGCTAAAACATTTTAAAAATGAGCATAACAGAGATACTAAATGAACATACATAATTTACAAAATGAGTATTCAAAAATTCAAAAGTTCATTTGTGTATGTTCATTTTTTTAAGCGTTTTACTCATTTCAGTTTAAGGTAAAACTCATTTATAATGTGCTCCGTATAATATATGAAAAAGAGAAAGAGGTAAAACAAATAAAGAAAGGAAAAGAAGTAAAAAAGACCAAAGAAAATAAGTAAAGTAAGTAAAAGAAAAAGACAATCTCAAAGAGTGAAATCAACCACTAAAAAAAGTAAAGAAAATAAAAAACAAAAAGACAAAAATCTAACAATCAGAACCACTAAAAAAGTAAAGAAAATAAAAAAACAAAAAAAAAACAAAAAGTAAACATAACGATCAGAATTGATGACGGTGGAAGAAAGAAAGGAAAAGTGGAAGGCAGCGGAAGAAAAGAAGGAAAAATGGAAGGCGGCGGAAGAAAAGAAGGAAAAGTGGAAGGCGGCGGAAGAAAAGAAAGAAAAGAGGAAGGCAGCGGAAGAAAAGAAAGAGAAAAGCAAAGAGGATGGTTGCTGAAGACTGGAAAGAACATGCAGACTCAGAGGCTTGAATTTGGTTTATTTACAAAAATATCGGGTGTATCTATACACCCGGGTGTGGGATTTAATTTTCCGCAATATCGACTGTGAATGTGCGAAAGAATTGGAGTAATACGCCGTATTATAATGAGAAGCTATACTTATTTCCACTATAAATCAATTTAACATTAAATAGTTATCATAGAAATTTTTATTATTGTATGAACAATACTAAGAAATAGTTTGTATGATTCACAAACTAAAGGCATCTTAATACTAAGAAAATAAAAGAAAAACATTTTTTACAATTCCAACCTTTAAAAAATACTCCATGAGAAAGAGTAAGATGGGTTTACAAAACTAAAAGGTGAAATGATAGATAAAATGATAAAGTGAGAAAGTAAAAATTAATTGAGTTCAATTTAGGAAGGAAAGTATTCACATTTTTTAGATAACTTACAACATTGAATGGGAAAGAATATATTAGAAAACCCTCTAAAGCTGGGAGCCTGGGATTGGTAAAAATTAAATGCGGTTTATGTAGACAAGTACTTCCTCCGTTTCAATTTAATTGACACACTTTCCTTTTTTGAATGTTTCAAAATCAATGTCAAACTTCCTTATATCCTTATTCGTTAATCAAATCTATATCAAAACAGTGTCCAACAATGTCAAACTGTGTCAAAACAGTTACTCAACAGTAACATTTATCTGTCAGTAACTTTTTTTCTTTAATTTTTGTGAAGTCAAAGCGTGTCAAACAAATTGAAACGGAGGGAGTATGTTTTTACTTGGACTTATTTCAGTTCCAGACCGTATTTTCATAGTTGTAAATTTATAAAATACACATAGATCAAACATTATCTGATTATATTAAACTTAAACATACTAGACCGGACCGAAAAATTTCAATTGAACAAAAAGTTACGTAGTAACTAGTGTAACACCCGGGGCATGCCCCGGTAGTATTGATTTGGTATGGATTCGGGTGAGAAATACCAATAAACAATGAGAACTATTCATATGATATGATCAAAAGTTTGGCTATAATCGACGTCTTTATGACTTAGCACCATCATGGAAGACGGATGAGGAATCACCTTTTTTTGGAGTATGAATTTGTGGTTATATACTTATAGTGTTGTTTATGTGCTAATTTTTGCAATAGTTATGGAGTATTAATTATTTATAAGGCTCATTAATTATATGATGAGGGATGATGAGAAAAAGTGTTGAATGAGAAATGATAGTATGTGGAGTTTACATTATTTTGGATAATCATATGTTTCAACCAAGCATTACAGTCAAACTGGTTGTGAGGTTACCGTG